GAGGCAGCAATGGGCAGGAGAATGGGCAGGAGCTGGAGCAGCTCCTCACGGCTGTCCCTGAACCCCTGGAAGTGCCCCAGGCCCGGCTGGAGCAGCCCTGGGACAGTGGAAGTGTCCCTGCCCTGCACTGGCTGAGTTCCCTTCCAACCCAGCCCAGTCTGGGATTCATTCCCTGGCTGCTTTTCCTGCTGGGAATTTCCTCCCTGGAATTGGGGAAGGGCAGGGCCTCACCTGATGTAGCCGACCTGGGGCCGGTGCTGCAGGAACCAGCGGTACGAGGTCTTGTCCTTCCAGCCCGAATTCCGAGGGTCCTTCCAGAGCAGCTTCACCTGGTCCGTGGTGTCTCCCGTGTGCCACAGGGAATTCCGGAGATACTCCCCTGGGCCTGTCTTGGATTTCACTGCCTGGGCCGGAGCAGGGATGGGTCAGTGTGTGCAGAGAGGGTTCACTGCAGCCGCTTATCCCAGGGCAAAAACCCAGCAGGAATTCCCTCTGCAGGGCTCCTTTACCTTCAGCTGAATGCCGGGCTCGGCCACGGCCCGGAAGGGGTTGGCCTGCCAGTAGGTCTGCTCCATCTGCTTCCACATCACCACGTAGAAGCTGGCGCTGTCCTGGTAGCTGAAGATGAAGCCGGCGTAGTCGTCGTCTGTGGCCGTGTTGACGTGGAAGGTGCCCTCAAAGTCCACCCCGTTGAACGCTGTGTACCCTGGGAGGGGCAGAAAAACAGGGGCTCTGCATTCCAGGGCCAAACAGAGCCAGGGCTCAGCTGGGAGATGGATTTGGCCAAGGGGAATCTGGGCTCCCTGTGCTACAGGAATCAGTGATGGGATCACGGAGCAGTGGCTGAGCCAAGCGGCACCGGGTGATGATTTTCCAGTGGGAAAAGGTCAATTCCTCACCTACAGCCAGGCCTGGGTCGCTGTTCATGGTCTGGACAATCTCCATGCCCTGGGAAGAGGAATTGTGACTCGTCAGTGCAGTTCCAGACAGCCCAAATCCCTCTGGTTCAGCTGCTCCGGGATTTGGGCGCTGTTGACCCACAGAGTGATTTTGGGAAATCCTCCAGGCAGCCCCAGGAGCGTTTCCAGCTGAGCTCTGCCCCACCTGGTTGAGGACGATCCAGTTGGGGTCGATCTGAGCGTCGCCCTCGGGGTCCAGCACCACGGTCTGGAAGGCTCTGAAGTCGGTGAGCGTCACCTCGGCGTTCTCGGGGCAGACGTCGATGCGGTCGATCACCGCGTCCCGGTCAAAGTCGTTCTCACACACGTTCCCCACGCCGTCCCCTGGGCAGGGGGAGGAGGAGGAGGAGGAAGGAGCCTGGAGCAGCTGCTCCTGCCCTGGCTCRGGGTTTGCTCAGCCCTGGGCAGCACCAGGAGCAGGGGAGGAGCTGCTCAGGGACACCCCGAGGGGTGCAGGGAAACCCCTAAAGCCACGGACACTTCTGGAAGAGAACCTGACCCCAAACACGACCCCAAACAGACCCCAAACACGACCCCAAACACGACCCCAAATACGACCCCAAACACGATCCTGCTGTTGGGCTTGTGGAGCTCTGGAAGTGCCACAGGCCTGGCTTGAGTCAGTCCCAAGGAAACCCAAATTCCTGTGGATTCCAGGGCTCCCCAAGAAGCCCCACAGACACCCCATGGCTCCGTCCCTCACCATCCGAGTCCTCCTGGCCGGGGTTGGGGACGAGCCTGCAGTTGTCGGGCCCGGGGGGTCTCAGGTCTGGGATTCCATCATCATCATCATCCTCATCACACTCATCACCCAGCCCATCATTGTCCGTGTCCACCTGGGAGCTGTTGGGCACTGTGGGGCAGTTGTCCCGCGAGTCCTGGTGCCCGTCCCCATCACTGGTGGAGACAGGGACAGGGACAGGGACAGGGACAGGGACAGAGACAGGGACAGGGACAGAGACAGAGACAGGGACAGGGACAGGGACAGGGACAGGGACAGGGACACGTCAGCCACAGCCACAAACACAGAAAGCCTTCCCAGGAGCTGGGACCCTCAGCAGGGGCAGCACCTTGGGGGATTTCAGCCTTAAAAACGTTCATTGCACCCCAGAACAGGTCAGGAATGTCCCTGTGGGGATGTGCTGACAGCTCTGGGAATGGTCAGCGCTTCCAGTGGTCACTTTTTGGGGTCTGAAGAAGYTCCACCTCTCTCATCCCCCATTTTTTGATGGGATAAGGCCCAGCCAGGCTGTCACAGGTCTCACCTGTCCTGGTTGGTGTC